CATGGTTAATTATAAACATATTTAACAGATATAAATTATGTATTCATTAGTTTGATGTATGTATACATCAGGCGGATTCATGCGTATAAATATTTTTCAGTGATTATTTAACAAGTATTTGATAAAAAGAGAAAAAGAGATGTTTCATACTTTTTTTTCTCCTGCAAGTAAAAACTTTAAATAACCAAATAGGATAAATGCACTTTTACAATAACTATCACGTAGAAAAAGCCTTAGATATTTTTGTAGAAATATTTTAATATCAAGTGTAAAAGTAGTAAGCAGTCTTTTTCTTTCTTTTTTATCGAACACAAAATTAAAGGGAAAATAAAAGTTGCTTCAACATTGGCTTGATTAGTGTTATTGGAGTTTCCATTGCTTTTCGACAGTCACAATGCAAACAAGAGGACAGTGACTTGTAGCTTTCAACTATGATTAGGAATATTGCTTTTAATATTTTAAAAGATGCATAAATTAGTAAAGTTAAAACCTAAATTCTGTTAGAATAAACAGCAAATGAAAATTTATTATGTTCTATTTGGCTATCTCTTTATAATAAAGAGTTATATTAGTCAATTCAAGTTTCAAACTAAGTAATAGATGGCATTGGGAATACCACTATATGAATAATATTATTATAATACTAATATGTTGAGGTTGGTAACTTGGTAATGTATTGTGTACAACTAATATTATACTTTATAAATAATACCTTACAATTCAGCACGGAACATACAAACATCAAAAATAAAATAAAAAAATGGAGGTACGAAGTATCTATATGGTATATTCCTTCACTAATTCTAAAATTAATACTTCGTCGATAGCAGTTAATAAACAAAAAAAAAATGAGAAAACAATCTCTTGTATCACTATTTACAATTTGAATAGAAGAAAATAAAGTAATATAAACCCCATGTATTTTATCTACTATTAGCTCCTTTATATGTTATTTTACTTAACTATCTCTAATGAAAAAAGTTACATAACTATAAGAATATTTATACAGAATTGATTTCCCAAAAAAATTAAAGGATAACAAAAAGGAAAACTTATCACAAATCTAATATAAAGCATGTTTATTAGTATAATCTCTTGAACCTACTCGTTGTTTTATGCTTGGAAAGTTATTCGTGTTCGCTATCCTTCTTTCTTTCTTCCCTTCTTATTTTCAACCGTCAAACAATAAGGAAAGACGTCATTCCTCCTTTCTCTCGCAACCACAACAATCATACAATCGAATAATTAAATTAGACGGGGATAACGGTTGAGCTATCAAACATGTCCGCTACCAAAAAAATCTACATGGCATCCATGATCCTAATCTTGCTTTTCTCAACACTTTAAAGCATGCTTTCCACTAAATATTTTGACAGGAGAAGGGTGTGTAATCCATACATTGTAAATATGAGTGCCCTGGAGAAAAGAAAAAAGGAAAAAAGAAAGAAATCCCAATAATGTTTATCCAACTTTCCATTTATGTGGGAAAGGATTTTGATTGAAGCCTTTACTTTTTTCACTTTTTTTGCGTAGTGACATAGTATAATGTGTAAAGTTGGGATGGGAGCAAATAATTGAACAATAAAACAAAAGTACAAAAGCTGTACTCACATTATAATGCCCAAAAGCACATATTTCAGTGAAGAGATGATAAGGCTTTTCACTTGTGGGGTGAAAAGAGTTAGATGATGCACGTTTCTAACTTATCCAATGTTTGAGGAAAAAAGATTCTTCCCTTTTTTTGGCTGAAAAAAAATAGACACTTAAAGTTTGCCATAATTTTTATTTAGAAATTTTCATAAACCACTATAGTTTGTGTAATTACCATCCGTATCTATTGTTTAATTGTTATTAGTTTGTATCACTTGTATTGAGATGCACAACAAATATAACTTGTATTCGATCGCTCAACGAATACAACAAAGACGAAATACATAAATATATATAAAGAATATAACATGTAGACTATATATAGAGGTGTATATAAAGGATATAACTTATATCGATTGTATTCGTTCACGCAACAATACAACCAAGGCGAAATACAAAAACATAAAAAATAGAATGCTCTTGTTGAGAATTGAACTCAAGAGCTTCGCTTACTAATTGGACGCTCTAACCAACTGAGCTATGCGAGCCTTCGCTTACTAAGCGGATGCTCTAACCAACTCAGTTATGAGAGCTTGTTGCTTGCTCTATTGTTTCAACTAAAAATAATTTATCTCTTGTTCATGAATTTGCTCTAAAATTCAAATATAACTACGAATGATAAATTTCTTGAAAGTATAGCTACAAATGGTAACTACAATATATATATTTGACATGTCAGCATAATTTTTTCCTTTTTATTTATATACATTAACTAGACTGTATTTGGATTGAACATTTGTAGTAGACCCATCAAACACATATAACATTGGCTTGGAGAGAGAAAGAGGGTAAGCCGAACATGTTGGTATCAGAGGCAAATTTATGTGGAGGGAGAGTGGGGTACATGCACCCATGCTTCCCCTCCCTAGAATATATGAATATGGATAAACAATACAATTTTTAAAATTATCTATATAAATATGTTTGTGTCCACCCATGCTAAATTTATTACCTTAGTTCACTGGTAAGTTGGTGCCTCTATGGTCTCCCAAGGCAATGGTTCGATTCCAGTCTCTATATAGTTTTTTAAATAAGTTTTTTTTATATTTAAAAGTTCCTTTTGGCTAAAAAGTAAAAACATACCCCCAAAGTCAAGGGTTCGATTCCTAGTCTCTATATATTTTTTTTAATTAATTTTTTTTAATATTTAAAGGTTCCTTTTGGCTAAAAAGTAAAAACATATCCCACTTTTTGAGGAAAATTTGGGTATAATCGATCAAATCCCTAAAAACAAAATACAATGTCTCCATCTCAACTCTCTCTCTCTCTCTCTCTCTCTCTCTCTCTCTCTCTCTCTCTCTCTCTGTTGGCTCTATGTGACCGTGGAATGTGGATTCTTTAAGAAAGTAGTAATTTCTCCTACATCACTCCATGTTCCTTTAAAATTCTCAAACTACTCTCTCTCTTTTTCCTTCTACTACACTTGAAGTCTTGAAGTCTTGAATTTTGATAGTTTAATGAATTTGTGTACATATTGTGTTTGAGAAAATGCTTGGCCGAGTCAAAGATTGAAATCCATGAGAAAAAGCATTTATGCGAAGGAATTTTGGCTTCTGTTACTTGGGACCTCTGTCCAAGTTTCAATTTTATTTTTTAGTTGTACGTATCATTGAGTTGGTAAATAAAATTTGTTTTAGTTACCAAAAAATAAATTGAACAAGGAACTACATATACTATCTTAAATATAATGGTGCACCCATGTTCTCAATCTTTGAAATTTCTTCTACATCACTCCATGTTCCTTTAAAATTCTCAAACTACTCTCTCTCTCTCTCTCTCTCTCTCTCTCTCTCTCTCTCTCTCTCTCTCTTCATCTCTCTA